TCGGGATTAATGGAGAGCACAAAAAACCAATCAAAACGCGTTGGAAATGGCAAGCCATCCAGAGGAAATATTCTCAGACCGAAGTATTTTACGTCATTGACCCTTCGGAGCCGAAGGCTCTGGGGTGAGGAACCAAAGGCTATTAAAGATCTTCATAAGCTGCCCAAATATTAAAACCAAATAATCATTATTTTGATTGTTAAATTTTGGCAATTTCAATTTTTAAAGAGCTTGTAAGAAATGTATTAATTAAATAATTGTTTAATATATGGGGTACTATGGAGTCGGGAAATTCATGTAAGAACAAAAAAGGTTATTGTACGAACTATTATTGAAAGTATTCTAACCTATGGTGGAGAGAGTTGAGTCTTGACGAACACCAGACAAAGAAATTAAGTGCAGTAGAAATGGATGGATTAAGAAGGAGCTGCCGAATTTCTAGAATGGAAAAAATTAGAAACGTAGAAATTCGGAAACGGATGCAGCAATCGGAATCGATGGTGGGCAGATTAGAAAGTAAAATGCTACAATGGTATGGCCACCTGAGAAGAATGTCAGATACAAGGTGGCCCAAGAATGTCCTCGACTGGTCTCCTCCAGGACGGAAAAAACGAGGAAGGCCTCTCAAAACCTGGAATACCAGAGTAATGGAAGCCATGCGTGAAAGAAGAATGGACGAAGACCTTTGGTCGGATAGAGAAGGCTGAAACCGCAAAATAAAAGGCAACCGATGACAAGTGGAAACGCCGATAAAAGTAAGCAAGTAAGTTTAATATAATCGTTTCCCAACTACACATCATGAAACTTATCTCTAAGGGCCGCTACTCGTCGGCTTTGAATCTCTGTTGCCATCACCACCCCATTCATCAGCGCCGTCGCACCGAAGGCCGTCGGACGCCGCAAGCAGCGCTCCGTTGGCTCCGCCCGCGTCGCGTCGCGTCGCATCACGCCCCCGCCCCCGCGCTGCGCCACGCCCCCGATCCTTCGGCTCGTGCCGCCAATTCCGAACCCGCGACGCCACCGCGAGTCGCGCCGTTTCCGCTAGCGCAGGGGTGGCCAAAAGGCCTCGGCCAAATGACGCGGAAGCGAACGGAGTCGTGAAAGCATTTCAACCAATCTGATCCCGTCAACTCATTTAAAGAAATACATGCTGTTCTAAAAAAAATATTGTGTCTCTTAACCGAGCTGTAAAGTATCTCAAATAAACGCAATTAAAAATGTGAAATTAGGTAGAAATTGACTTTTACAATAGTAATGTAAATTGTATTTTAAATCCTCTCATTTCATTTCAATATACAAAGCACAGGTGAATTAGGTACACAAGGCTAAATAAACATTGCGTAGTTGATAAATAAATAATTTAAAAACATAGAATGAGGCATAAAATAAATACAGAATTTTATAATATAAACAATAAGTATTTTCCAATTTGTTTGAACAAATTAGGAATACTACTCTTAAATGAAGCTGTATTTTATTTAAAATTTTCTTGGATTGAGTTCTTAGCATGAACGTGGATAAGACTTTTTTGCGCCAATATGACGCCAATACGCCAATATGATCCAAAGAGAAAAGAAAAAATGTTTATCTCAATGTCAACGTGACTGAATTGTACACATTTATTTATTTTTCAGCTAAATTATTTGTTTTTTCACAGTCTTTTTTAATCGTTCACGCTCGTTCCTAAGTCAATGCTTTTGAGTCTTAAGTGCCTATTATGGACACTTGTGATGATTCAATGCGATGAACGAATCCTCAGCAAACAAACTTTACAGCATTTTGCAGTACCAGTTCCATAGCAAAAGGGAATAGGCTTGATATCAACAACAAAAATTTGATATAATTGAGTAGGTAGCGATGTCAGTGGTTCTGGAAAGGGGCAGCTAAACACCTATTGGACGGAGACGAAATAAATTTTCCTTATCTGACTCCAAAAGACACTTGTTTGAATAATTTCTTGCTTTGATATATCAATAATTACTGACTATATTTAGTTGAAGACACGAGACATTAGTGTCATTCAAATATACAACTCAATGGGGCCCAAGAAAAATGACGTCTCAGAAGTCGTCATTGAGTTAGCATACAAAATGTCATTTAGAAAATACGCTTATTGTTATTACAAACAATTTCGTATATGGCCAGTCAATTGCATTACAAAACGGTTAGCTTACAAAACGGCTGAGAGAAAAACACTGTTTTGCGAAGTCAGCGGCTCCGCCCCGACTAAATGTGTTCTTCTACAAAATCAGGATTTTTTAAAAGTGCCACATTTATTGCGCACTCACAAAATTTGGTTGATTTAACTTTTCACTGAATTTCCCTATACTGTTTTTCGCGGTCGACTTGAGAAGTTTCTCTTACTCTATCGTACATTCTGACGAGCCATTTTCCTTTCGATATACTTGGTAGGAGTTGGGGTTTGGGGAGCCCTGCTGTAACAGAACGCCTCGCCCCGGCCCCATTGGCAGCCTACAGGCGGATCGCTTTGCGCAAAGGCCGGGACGCGTTCTCGGAAATGCCTCTTTCTTCCGCTGGCTATCCACAAGGCCTTGACCGCTCCCGGCCAACAAAGCAAATGCGCGGCACACGAGTGAAAGAGATAATTTGTTTTGCATGTTTTTTGTTGACCAGTGCACTGTTCTTCAGATATGATTGAACTCTTTCCATACCACTTTTTTAGAGTGGTCAAATAATCAATTAGTAATATGTGTACAACCTGTTAATAACTCTCCGTATTGTATCCGTATTGTATTATCTATCGCCGTATAATCTTGTGCTGGTGTGTTGATTAAAAAATAGTATTAGGAGATCTATTAAGGGCTATTAAATTGAAAATTTAAACATTCAGAATGGGTGGACTATTTATCATTGGCTACTTCGTTTAAAACAGATATTAAAAAAAATTAAGGTAATAGTATTAAAACTAAATACACTGGTTTTCCATGAGTAACATTGTCAATATTTATATATGATCTGGAAATTTTGGAAATGAATTATTTAAGTATGATATTTTAGCGAATGCTCTAGTGATGTTATTTACAGACATTTCTAGAACAACTTCTGGTATGGTTTTGACTTCCAATTTCACACAAACTTAATACGTTTTCAAGCAACAAACACGATTTACAATTACCATAAAATAAAATAAAACAATTTAGTATAAATAATAAAATATATTTATAAATATACATACAAATTTTTACAATTTTTTAACATGAAGAAATACAAAACAATTAACATACGGTCCCTTAGGGTCCGGAGACTTAATGACCTTACAGGCTACTTGTCTCTGTCAATCGTGTTTCCGAATCACTGGGAAGTGACCCGAAGAGCACGATATTCTGCTGAACATACGGTCAACAGCGAATAAGTCAAATCTTTGGCGTCAGTTAACACAGTGCGAGCGTCAGAGGAACACCTCACTTTATGGCAGTGCGTCCCAAATAGTCGTGCAGATTATCTTTTGGTGTAGTTGCTTTCCATTCAAGAAGAAATGTCAAAATCCGTACCGTTTCGCCGCGTCCAGTTCCTACCGCACAACGGGATTCTGCCCACGAACTGTTTGCAGCAAAACCTCGTTTGCGAATTAAACCGAGCGCGGAGCGGAAATGGGCTCAGAGGGAGATGAATACGTCCCCGCGTCAAAAGAGTCGGTCAAAGGTCGACGGTCGTCTATGCAGGCAAAAGTCAAAGCAAGCAGACAGGCCAAGCGACTGGAAATCAGGGTGAGAGAACAGTTAATCCGGTTAGCAGCGCCGTCTCGCGTGCGGAGCGCCAGACAACGACGAGGGCGGGCAGCGGCGACAGCGAGAGACAGGCAGATGCGTGGGAGGCGGCAGCAACAGGTATTCAAGCGCGGCCGGCTGGGGCACCAGACAGCGCAGGCGGAGGAGGAGGAGGAGGAGGAGGAGGAGGAGGGGACTCCATTGTACACGGAGCGCGACTGGAGCTGCAGAGGCCTCTGACGGCTTTAGACCGAAGAGGTAAAACTGAGAAGCGGTGCTTTGGGGATAGGAAATGTAGTTGAAAAATTTACGTTTTCTCGCACAGCGGAAGATTTAGTACGGAGTTTGCGTCGCGGAACAAGTCTTGCAGAATTTATCTTTGGTATGCGAAGACTCTCAGTTGAGTCTTGGAAAACGAGTAGAAGAGGTTTCATGCAGAATGATGTTAGCTCAAGTGTGAAATAGAAGGAACCTACAGAAATACGCACAAAAATCTCCGACGAATTTCTGCAAGATTATTTGTCAACTTTAACAAAATATTTAAATATTTTTTTCGAGCAAATAAATAAAAATTAACACATTTATATTACAGTTTGGGAAAAGAGCGATTAATGCCAACTTAACATTCTCAGAAACTAAAGTTGAGTATCAGGAGTCGGAATATTTCATTTTCATTATACCTGAGTATGTTAAGTTGCCGCATGTCTCCTAAACTTCACCTTTAGTTTGCGAATCATAGTTAATTGGAATTAAAATCTCCGACTGGACTCACAAATCCTGAGCAAGAGATAATGGAGTGGATCCGCTATCTTTTCCTCAATCGGAGTGTCGTGTTATTGCTCTTAAACTCGCCCCATGCACAGTATTAATTTAGAAAATATGCAACCGGCAATTACCAAAAACATCTCACGAAATACAGTAAAATATAATGTAATATTTTTGCTCTAATGCGAGAACATTACTCAAATTAACCTGCTAAATATTTTACATTGAAATGCAAAAAGGTCATATCTAATAGACAGGAATGTATTATGACAAAAGTTATTGATGATTATTGCACGAGAGGTGTTCAATAAACGAGGTTTTAATTTGGACTTCATTAATAACAGACGTCAAGCTAATATTCAATTAAATCGATTTTTCTGAGTGACTGTGGAGTAGATAACATTTTAGCCTGAATAAAATTACAAAACGAAATTGCTGCTTTCGTCGAGAATTGAAAGATTTATACGTGAAACTTCTCACGTGTCAAATCCTCGTAGTAATTCCGCGCTAGGCAGGTGGCTCACTGGTACGGGGTCGAGTGCGCAAGGCAAATGCGGGGGGGGAGGGGAGGGGGAAGGGAGGCGCTAGGGGGCGTAGGCGGGAAGGGAGTTCGTCGGCCCGGCGCGGCGCGGGCGCTGGCGTGCCAGGCCGCCGCGGGTGCGACGCCACCAGCTGCGGGGGCGGCGGGCTGTCGCGCGCCAGCTTCTGGCACAGCTGGAACACCGCCAGTGCCAGCGACACCACGAAGGAGCCGAAGCTGAGCTGCAGCGCGTTCCACGCCTTCACGCCCAGGATGCCCAGCACCAGCGGCACCACCGTCAGCGCCTTGAGCAGCAGCAGCACCGCCACCGGCACCAGGATCTTGCGCAGCTTGCTCTTCTTCAGCTTCTTCTTCAGCTTCTTGCTGCGCCCTGCGCACGCACGGAGCGGACGTTACTCGAGCGCCCCACACAGAAACAATGCACGAACGCAGAACAAAAGACAGGCAGAGAGAGAGAGAAGGAGAGAGAGAGAGAGAGAGAGAGAGGGAGAGACAGAGGGAGACAGGGAGAGCGCGAGCGGGCAAGAGAGGGATAAGAAAAGAGAGATGGAGAGAGGGATAAGAAAAGAGAGATGGAGAGAGGGATAAGAAAAGAGAGATGGAGAGAGGGTGAGGAGAGAGACAGGGAGAGGGAGAGAGGTAGAGGGAGAAGAGTGACAGGGAACGGAGAGAAACGGAGGGAAAGAGAGAGAGAAATGGTTAAGAAATATCAGAGGAAAGATGACAGTGTTACATATTCAAACAAAAGAAAGGAATGTAAGACTGCGAATTATAAACGTCTGATGATTGAATGGTAATCAACTGATTAAATTTGAATTAGTTTTTACTTCAACCTGACAAATCGAAATAATATATAGGCAAATCTAGACTTGAAGGAAGGGCGGGAACTGTTGTAAATTGAAAATAAAGTAATAATATTTTTAAGAAGCAAATTTTTCAAACATTGCATAATGCAAAATGGAAGGAAATAGAAGATAGAATTAAATTCAGGGTTTTTAAAGAAATGTGCGATAATGTTTAAACTCTTGCCAACAACGTTAAAGGAACTTGGAAGACGGATGTAAGTTGCAAAATTTATTGCTTAAGGAAAATAAAACTTTAAGCGTTTTGACTAAATGAGATTCATAACAATGCTTGCCAGGTTGCATAAATCTGTGCAAGTGAATCAAATGTCTATCAGCAGGACAGAGAAGTCGTTTAGTCAACACGCAGACACGCCAAAAGATTTGTCAAAAATCCAGCTCAGAACGTCAAGGGAAGGCAGCTGACAGATAAGGCATGATGAATCACTGACGTGAGTTTGGAAGTAGCCCGTGGGGGTGAGGAACAGGTGACACGCAAAACGTTCGAGGCGGGGGAGGGGTAGCATGCGAACGTTCGCGATGAAGTCCGTAGAACAATGTTTGTGTGGGGAAGCGGAGAAATCTGTCCTGACACAGACAACTTCGTAGGAGAGAAATAAACCCCCGCAAACGAATGAGCGTATGCGAGTGTCGAGAAAGAGCAAAGACAGAGGGACAAGGGAATATTTACACACGCGTCGGTAGGTTTAACATTGCATTTGAGTTACAGTCAGCGATATTCGGAACAAGTAGACGTTTTATCTTTTCAGGATGGAAATAACCGAGATTTTGTGTCTTAAGCCAATAATCAATCCTCTCTACCGGCAATACAGTTTATGTCTAACTAGCGGCAGATGCCTTGTTAGTTATATTTACGACCAAAAGCTAGTGATTCTTAAAAAAGTGAATTTATTCACAGATATAACAATACAGAAGAATGTATAAACTTACTCTCCGAATTCAAAACTCTGTACCTTCCGCCAGATTACGTATTCTGCGTATTTCGAAATTCAAGGGGGAATGAAATTTTTGAGTTAACGATTATTTTAATTTATGGATGTTACCAATTCCTATGAGTTTAGGAAAAGTACACGTAGAGATTTCGAGAGAAAATGCTTATTGAAGGACATATTATGAATGTTACAATGTAACTGCTGACCGGAGAAATTCACGATTTTTATACTGTCACAACTACTACTATTTCTTACAACTTTTCAAGCAAATCTAAGACACACCACTATGCTCTTCTATCCTACTGAACACACGTGCATAGGAAATAGTGTGCTATATTATTTGTAAGTACTTAGCAACCACCCGAACACTTTGAACTATCGAGTATTTTGTGACTCGTATATTCAGTTTACCAGACGTAGGGCGTTTCAGAAAGATACCCTGCATTTCGCATCATTTGAGTAGGAGATATCGAAGTTTCATTCACTGTCCGAAAAAAACTATTACCCAATTTTGCACTGTTCGTTCCTACAATTTCCTTTGAGCTTCTTTACAAGCACCTTCGAGACAGTCGGCGTTCCTCCTCGAAACCCGGCAACCCAAACAAGGGGAAGGCAGAGCAACAGCACGACGGCGTACAGACGCGTGACCTCCATGCGGTGCGGGCCGGTGAACGGTGACGCGGAACGCGACCGCGGTGCCAAGGAGGCGGAGGTGGAGGTGGAGGGGGAGGGGGAGGTGGAGGGACGCGGTGCTTCGGCTGCCTGCAATGGAGTGCGAAACGAGCCCCTTGGCGCGGCGCGGCGCCTCAAGCACCTGTTTACGCGTGGGAGCTCAGTGCCACTCGCCGCCTTGTACATCAATTGCGCTCGGTTAGCATTCCCTCCCTCCCCGCCTTTACGGCCTCTCGTAACCTCCGATCCGCCCACGCGCGGGCGCCTTTCCAATTAATGGGGACACATTGTTACTGAGTGCGCGCACAAGACGCAGATATTGTGGGATGGTAACAATCGGCGTGAGTACTTTTGTAGTTCGTTGAGGCCCACGAATGTCCAAAGCGGACTTCTCGAATACACGTGATCAGCACAGCGGGATCTACAGAACTTTGCTGACTTTGCTGAATTTCTCGTAAATATCAGGTTTGGTGTCACCATATTAGCACTAAAAATTTAAATTGAATTTCCAGAAGATATTGTACCACAGACAAGGAAGGAAACCAGTGAGATATTCTGAACTTGACTATTTTGACAAATGTTTAGGTGCTTACCAAGACATTATTGCGCGGGTACTGTAATTACACGTAGTGACAGAACTATCGCTTCAAAACTGCTGAGTCCAACAAGAAACTCCTGTCACGTGTTGTTGAACATGTTCGTCATTTTATGAATGTTATGAATTAATTCTATGAAGGATTTTTCAGAATATTTAATCTGTAAACGTTGTTTTTTTACAATTAAATTTGTTGAGTACATTATTCAAATTACTAACAACAACAGTTATATGTGCCGATAAGAGAACAATTTGTATTCACGGCTCTTGACTCGGAAATAAAATACTTATCATGAAACGTTTCCGACGGATTTTGCTTGCAAATAATAACACAATTAACAAAGAACAAACTGAGATATCAAAATATTCTATTTTTGGACTACGCATTTTGGTCGTGTTTGTCTTGAGGCGTATTTGACACCAACTAACCGGCGACACGAACGCGTTTAGTTAAAGAGAAGGTTCCTCTACCAGCGTTTGCTGGGCGTCGAGGAAAGCCGAGTGAGGACAGAGCGAGGCATATTCAATTTCTGGGCGCGACACAGGAAAGGAATACGAGCGTAATAACAAGGAACACACAGTTCGAAGACGTCGCGTATGCAATTTTGAACGCGTATACATTATCTCGTGGCTTGTGATATAACCTTTCCTGACATTTCAAGCACGGAAACGACGGCAATTCGAAAGAAACCTCCCTCATATTCATCCTCTCACCGTCAGCGCCGGCGCTGTGCGGGCGAGAAGAAGCGAGCGCCGGCGAAAGCAAAGTGGAGGCGGAGCGAGACAGACGCGGCGCGGGTGCGACGCAGGGGAGGGGGGATAAGAGCGGAGATTATCCGCGCTGATGCGCTCTCCTCCGGGGGAAGGGAGGACGGGCGCGGAAGAGCGCATTACGGCACAGGAGAGGCGACGTGCTACCCCCGCGGAGTCTTTGGCGGTGGTGGCTGCAGCAGGAGCAGCAGATTCCGGCCGGGCACGTGCACGTGCGATGCTTACGCCGTTCGCTCGGGGACGGGATAGGCGCGGTTTACAAACCGCGAAGCCTTGCCGCCGCTGGGAGCGAGGTCGGAGCACTGAAGGCAGATGTTCTTAAGAGGCGTTAAACTGTTTAGGAGTGTGTGGGAAAGACACAGGGAGCATGCAAAGCAGCAAGTGTAAATTACTGAATTACGAAAACGCAAATGAAATACGAAGACAGACATGTTAAGATGCAAGGCAATAGTGGAAACATTGTCTTTTGTTTTGATAAATACGATGAGAAATGATAACCCGTATTGTGGAGAACCCATATTGCTAAATCCAGATTTACAAAGACAAGAGTTAAATCAAAGAATATTCTAAATCAAAGTAGAGTATTAATACTGTCAGAGATAGTGAGTGAATTAGCAGGTAGTAAGGAATGGAGAAATCTTTAAAGAGCGTGGATGAGGAATTGGTGGGTTTGGCACGTGGGGAGGGGGATGAGGCACTGGAACAGGAGGTCGGGGCACGTGAGGGGGGTTGGGCACGTGGGGAGGTTTGGGTTTATGAGGTTTATGCGGAACATTAGGAATAGCAGGAGTCAACACATCTTGCGGTTCAGATGATTCGACGGAACGAATGATTCTCGAGTTACGATAGGGTTTGGAATTCGAGTCGTGAAGTGCACTTTCCAGGTCGGAAATGTGTCTTTCGAATGAATCTTTAGATTTGGAATTCTGGGATTCTGCCACCAAGGGCGGTACAACTTCCAATCTGCTCGCTTTCCGAACCAGATGGCTAAGGAGGGGTTCGTTGACTAAAGCGATCTTTGGGAGCGAGCTAGGCAAATGAGAGTTACGATTATTTCTGGTAGAGTCACTCACAAAGTCGGACGACAGAAGTGAATTCAAAGAAAATGGAGAGTACTCAATTACAATGTCTTTTCCCTTCTGAGATTGCGTATTAGATGAACTTTTCTTTCCTAGAACAGAAGTTGGAGAGGCACTAGAATCGGTAAATGGAGATTTTCGTGGATGGAAGCTTGTTTTGGACGATACCTCTTCGCCGGAAACAAAAGTTGGAGAGGCACTAGAGTCGGCAAATGGAGATTTTCGTGAATGGGAGCTTGTTTTGGACGCAAACTCTTCACCGGGAACAGAAGTTGGAAAGGTACTAGAATCGGAAAATCGAGATTCCTTTGAATGGGAGTGGGTTTTGGACGCACCCTCCTCCCTGGGAACCAGAGTTGGAAAGGCGCTGGAACCAGGAAAATGATATCCTCGTGGATAGAAGTATATTTGGGACGCAACCTCTTGACTGGAAACAGAAGTTGGAAAGGTACTAGAATAGGAAAAACGAGATTGTTGTGGATGGGAGTGTGTTTTGGTAGCAACCTCTTCACCGGGAACAGACGTTGGAAAGGTACTAGAATCGGAAAATCGAGATTCTTGTGCATGGGAGTGGGTTTTGGACGCACCCTCCTCCCTGGGAACCAGAGTTGGAAAGGCACTGGAACCAGGAAAAAGAGATCCTCGTGGATAGAAGTACGTTTGGGACGCAACCTCTCGGCCGGGAAGAGCAGTGGGAAAGGCGAAAGGTGGCCGTCGGGAGCGCGAGTCTGTACCCTCCTCGCCGGAGTCCTCCTCCTCGTCGTCGTCGAACTGCAGGCTGAGGTCGAGGCGTCCGGCGTCGAGGCGGCGCGGCGAGAGCGTCACCTGGCCGGCGGGCGTGCGCAGGCGCAGGTCGTGCGCGCGCAGGTAGCGCAGCGCGCGCGCAGCCCAGCTGTCCGAGTCCGCGCCGCGGGCGGTCGCCTCCGCGTCGGCCTCCTTTTCCTTCTCCTTCTGCTCGCCCTCGCCCTCGGGCTCGGGCTCCGCCGCCACCACCGACAGCGACTCCGACACCTGCGACACGCCGCGCGTCACCTTCCGCACCCACCACGCCGCTCGCTCACGTTAAAGGTAACAGATTAAAGTAGGGAGGCACAGAAGCGACTTTGACGATCCGGATAGCCGAGATCGCTATGGCAGTAGTGTCGTGGCGATCTCTTATAATAATAATAATAATAATAATAATAATAATAATAATAATAATAATAATGTCTTTAGTAATGGCGAGGCTCAAACCATAGGGCCTCTGAAGGAAGGATCGCGGGTTCGAGTCCCTCCTCGGGCATGGAAGTGTTTGTGTTGTGCTAGTGTTGTCCTTACGTGTTCGGTTGCCCTAAAGTTACCCCATCGTTATACTATCCCAGTAGTCGCTGCATGACCCTGTAGTTATAAAACGACATAAAAAAAATCAACCGTATCAACATTTACACACAACATTCCTGAACATCTCAACCTCTACAAACAAGGATCTGCTCCCATTCCCTATGAGTAATTTTCGTTCAACTCAAACCACCTTGCCAGAATTTTATCATCTCTACTGTTGCATAGTGCAAATATTTTCAAATAATTACATCAAAAACCGAATTGTTGAATGATTAAAGTGAAATCCAGTGCGGGCAACCTCCCACTACCAAGACCTACAACGTAGCAAAATGTATTATGTGTCGCTGTCCTTCTCTGCAACAGTACTGTGGAGTTGTGTATCCACTACACCCGAACATAATATAAATAAATAATAATAATAATAATAATAAGAAGAAGAAGAAGAAGAAAAAGAAGAAAAATAATAAAATAATAATAAATTATAATAATAATAATTATTATTATAAATGTTGGTAAAGACACTAGTGTGTATTTTTACTCATAAAAAGTAAATGCTAACTACTGCCTGTTTAACAGACATATACAAACAATTAAAATTAGAATTTCTTGATCTCTGTAATATCTATGAGAGATTTCTTGAGTTACCTCTATATTAAATCGCATAACAGAGTAAGTCATGCATTTGATAGAGTGCATGGAAAATGACAGCAATGGAGGAATTTTCATAATCTACATTCTCGATATTAGGATCAGTCTTAATGCGAGAATAAAATATTCGGGGGCAATGAAAAACGAGTGACATTTGTTCATGTACAGGTTGAGTAATTTCGAATGTAAAAAACACATTATCTTGAACTGCCCAAAGAGACCAACGAATGTCTTCTTACGTCATTTTGTTGAAATACGCTTAGTTACTGCACGGCAACTCGATCCCTGTAACGTGTCATATACTCCAGAATATAGTCTTACGCGAGATCCAACTACCTGAGAGGGAAACAACACGAAATCCTAAAACCAACAAACGGGAACGCCCTATAACTCTGTATTATCCTATACATGCCTCCCCCTCTGACAACTTTACTCAGGTACCACGAGATCACTCACACCAATCCCCCACCTCTACTCCCCCTCATTTCCGGCTGTTTGCACAGGTGTCGGCCCGGGGCGCCAGCTCTCCCCTTCCCTTCTCTCCTCCGTCCTTCTCTGTCGGTCCTCCG